TATATTATATTGTTTTATTTATTCAATTGAAAGATGTTTAACAATCAATCAATAAACATAAATATGATTTATATAAGCGAAAAGAAACAAGATTAAAAGTTTGAGATGTACAATCATTAAATTAAAGAAAAAAAATGCATAATTTGAGTTAGAGATATTTATATAAATCACAAAAGTTGTAAAGAAAATATTTCACTTTTTAATATAGTAAAGAAGTTTAAAATAATAGAATATAACATAATACACTAATGAAAATAAAACGCATTGCCATTCAAAATTTTAAATAATAGATACTTGCAATGCTCTATGCTGTAAATAATTTATCAATTTCGAAACTAAATTTAAATTATAATATTTCCACAAATGGAAAATAATTTAAAAAAAATAATAAAAATATAAAAGTTTGAAAATATTTGAAACTGATTATACTGATTAAATTATTTTTAACTAATATTTTTTTTTTATATTATAGATATTCATATTTCTTGAAAATCTTGATGAAAAAAAATATGACATTTATATTAATATAAATATTATATGAATATATACAATTAAAATTATTTATATAAATAAATAATATTATATTATATAAATTTATTATATAATATATATCATATATATATATATTATTTGTATCTATATAAATAGAAATTTCATTCTTCTATTATATCTAAGGAAAATAGCAGTATTAAGAAAATTCAATATAATAATTATGTATTATAAAGAAAGCCTTTGCTTAGTGATCAAAGAGAAAAATATAATAAATTTGTTTTAAAAAAAAAAAATATAAAAAAAATTTATAATTTGGATAGTACTATTTATATTATAAAAATAAATTTAATATCTTTGAAGCAGATGAAAGGAATAAAATATGGAAAAAAAAATGAAAAGCATTTGAATTGAAAAATGTAATGTTAATTGTAACACATGAGAGTATTTACTATTAGTTTGAGGATTAATAATGGCAGCCATTTAATATTTGATGTATTATATTAAACATATTTCAATATTTTTAAAATTCATTTAAGAAACAATGCAGAAAAATTAAGTAATTGGATTTTTCAATAAAATTAAGATCTTAAATACAGTTTATATGATTCGGAAATGAATACTATGTAATATTCTAATGTCTAAAATAATTTTTTTATCGCCCCAATTTTTATAGAATATATATAGGATTATTTAGAGAGAAATATATAAAACATAATAGAAATAAATAAATAAATAAATAAATAAAAATGGTTTAGAAAAAGAATGAAAAAAAATTTTATCCAATTTATTATAAAATTAATGCAATTATATAAAAATGCTAAAAATATTAAGAGCCTAATATTAGTTTTAGAGACATAAGGAAATTAATAAAATATTATATAACTTGTAAAAAAAAAAAAAAAAAAAAAAAAAAAAGATTGTACGAACATTTTTGTGAAATATAATTTATTTTTTTGCTTATATGTTAAAATATTTCTATAAAATTATATATCTTGTTATAAAATAGTTAATATTATTTCATATTCAATAAATAAACACGATATTATACAAAAATACTGTTTTCTTTAAAATGACAATTTTATGAATTATGCGAAAACTTAACTTTTCTGACTGACTATATGGTCTTTAACAATATCAGCATGTTATTATAATATAGATGTACATTCTTTTATACTATTTATATAAATTATAAATAAAAGATGAGATCCTCAAATCTTTAGATAAAGTTCGATGATCGAAATTTTTCAAAACGCAGCGCACGCAAGTATAAAGCATGTGTAAGAATTGTATTAAGAATTAATATGTTCTTATATAATTTAATATATTTAAAATAATTACCATTAAATTATACAAATTTTTAAACGTGATAATTATAATAAATGGTAAATCTATTAATTCTCTTTTTACCAATTTTGAAAAATATGTTGCACAGGATATTATTTTGAGCAACTTCTTTTTTTATACATAACCAGTTGATTTCAGTTTTCGCAAAAAATTTTATATAAAAATATTATATATTTAATATGATATAATGAATAAATATCATCACATTTAGTATCCATAGTGAGGTTAAGCATTTCATAAATTTTTTTAAATCTATAGAATATAATAAGAATAAGATATAATGCGAAAATAAAATATAAAACAATACTTGGATAATCGAAATTACAATAACAGTAAAGTTTGTTTGTTGTATATTATACAGAAAATACAAAGGAAATTTTTTTTTTAATTTTAAAAGTTTAATCAAATCTATAAAAAAGTAGATTTTTAATAAACTCATCATATGTTTACATACATACTGATTATCAATCGTTTTTAAGTATTGACTGTGTCATTAATGCATATATATATATAGAATTCAATGATATACTATCAAAAAAATTTTTTCGAATAACTTTAAAATTAAAGTTATTTATATCAACTGTTACGTTTAAAGGAAAAAGTTGAAAATGAAGTCTTTTATATTATATGAGGCATTTCATATGTGTAATCTACTTCAATAGTAAACAGGGACACAAAAACAATAAAAAAAATTCTAAAAATGAACTAATAAACTGAAATGAATCAAAATTTAATTGAAAAAATATATGAAGTCAATAAAAAATATCCATAAAATATAGAATATTGTTTAATATATATAAATATAAATTTGAGAATGAACATTTCGAATATTTCTATGAAGATAAATTCTTGTAGATTATACATATATAATAAAAGTGACTATAACTTTGAAATAAAATTAAATAAAAATATTTATATGAATTTTTTTCATTATTTTTGTGTCTCCTATCCATTTCTGAAATGGATTCAAATTATATATATTATATATAATAAATTATATATATATATATATATATATATATATTAT